TGAAGTCCGAGTTGATCTCGGACTGTGGTTGACCGAGATTTTCTCATCTCGGTGTGCTCGGACTACCGCTGACCAAGATGAGAAAATCTCGGTCAACCACGGTCCGAGATCAACTCGGACTTCACTGTCCGAGAACACCTCGGACAGCCTTGTCCGAGTAATTTTTGCTGGTGGTGATATAAAGAGTACAAATTTCGGATTGGATCAGAAACTAAAGTGGCTGATGTGTGCACTGACATTGCCCTTGATGTACACCTATGTACAGTCACAGGACGTGTAAACGTCAGGGTGACGCTGACCTTGTCAACGTCAATGAATTCGTTGTAGTGTCGCACTATGTGCAAACAGGTGACCCCGCAGCCTAGAAATTTGGAAGGTCTGTGTGGGCTGGGGCCAGCTCCCAGGTGGCTCCTGCAATGCACCTCTTTCATTATCGGTACACTGTGGCTATCATGATAATAATGACACATGCCACCAAACCACCTCACATGACTACATATGCACCTCTGGACTACCTGTTGAACTATCCAGAGCAGTGTACAGAGGGTACCTGTATGACTGCTCTGGACAGTAAATCCGCGCGGTTGCAGCCATTGCTGCTGTCACTGCCGTTGCAGATTACAACCCCCCCAAAATTGCACCAAGTCCTCACTTACTACCCATCATACATCACTCCACCAGACAGTACTGTAACTGTAACATCATCTGTCACCTGCTCAAGCAAGCACTGACTTTTCCAGTGATCAGCAATTGCCCTCACCAGCTCTCATCTCACCAGCCTCATCCCACTTGATCCATGACTTCACTTTCCACCTTTCACAATATTGACTCCTCTTGCAACCATGGCACTTCAACTTCACTTTACCTGTGGCTGTCCCTCCTCAGAAGCTGTTCCCAAGAAATGGGGTGGCAGGCATTCAACAAACTCTACTGTCTAGGCTTTCAGTGGAAACAAGAGTCAATGCCCAACATGTTGAAGGATGTAGGCAAATTTGAAGGGCTGATCCAAGACCTTAAACAATATGGCTCCTTTTCTGATTTGTATCTGATTCACTGGACTTACTTGAATATTCTATGGTCTATGTGAGAGTAGTATTCCTTGTACATGCTATGCAATCACACCTTTTTAAAAGGCTATGTTTAGGTGGTTTTTATAGCCTTGAACCAATCTTCAAAGTAGACCCTTCATACACCAGGCTTTTTAAGAAATCTCTGTTGTAAGTATTCTGGGTTCATTTCACCCAATTATGACACTAGCAATGAGCTTCTGGGAAGCAAGAGATATTCTATCATGCACAAACAAACATTCTGAGAATGTTTCACTAATGTTCCCAGGGCTAAACTCAGGTCCTTTGAGGACTTACCTATATGCTGGGTATTTTTTGGATGTGCATGTAGTAAGAATATTTGTATTTAGGAGGCTATTTATGGGCTATGCAGATCCTAAGACTAGTCTATGGTATGTAATTACCCATGGCGCACAAGGTTACTTAATAGGATTTGTGCTAAATCTCACTTGTT